TATTATACGATAAGCATTGTTGTTCTTCGGGTAAAAAAAACACCAACGTCACCCTCGCTGATGCCAAACACGAACATATCGTTGCCCGAAGCCTCGATATTAGAAATAGTCTTCTCGGCAACAGGTAGCCATTGGTTGCATTGGAGTCTCCAAAGCATACGGATACCATCATCACTAGAGTAACCAGCTAGGTACCATGCACCATAGTCAGTGAAACTGAAGGACTCGGTAGTTATTTGGCCCACCGGGAGGAGGTTAGGGAACGCCGTCCTATCAGCAACGCAGAAGTCACCCGAACACTGGCCAGATGAAGAGGATGTATTAGTGCTAGTCACAGGACCACTAGTTGAAACAGTAGTAGCGCTAGTCACAGGACCACTAGTTGAAACCGTAGTAGTGCTAGTCACAGGACCACTAGGTGAAACCGTAGTAGTGCTAGTCACAGGACCACTAGTTGAAACAGTAGTAGTGCTAGTCACAGGATCACTAGTTGAGGCAGTAGTAGTGCTAGTCACAGGACCACTAGTTGAAACAGTAGTAGCGCTAGTCACAGGACCACTAGTTGAAACCGTAGTAGTGCTAGTCACAGGATCACTAGTTGAGGCAGTAGTAGTGCTAGTCACAGGACCACTAGTTGAAACAGTAGTAGCGCTAGTCACAGGACCACTAGTTGAAACCGTAGTAGTGCTAGTCACAGGACCACTAGGTGAAACCGTAGTAGTGCTAGTCACAGGACCACTAGTTGAAACAGTAGTAGTGCTAGTCACAGGATCACTAGTTGAGGCAGTAGTAGTGCTAGTCACAGGACCACTAGTTGAAACAGTAGTAGCGCTAGTCACAGGACCACTAGTTGAAACCGTAGTAGTGCTAGTCACAGGACCACTAGTTGAAACAGTAGTAGTGCTAGTCACAGGACCACTAGTTGAGGCGGTAGTAGTGCTAGTAACAGGACCACTAGTTGAGACAGTAGTAGTGCTAGTCACAGGATCACTAGTTGAGGCAGTAGTAGTGCTAGTCACAGGACCACTAGTTGAAACAGTAGTAGCGCTAGTCACAGGACCACTAGTTGAGGCAGTAGTAGTGCTAGTGACAGGACCACTAGTTGAGGCAACAGTAGTAGTGCTAGTCACAGGACCACTAGTTGAAACAGTAGTAGTGCTAGTCACAGGATCACTAGTTGAGGCAGTAGTAGTGCTAGTCACAGGACCACTAGTTGAAACAGTAGTAGCGCTAGTCACAGGACCACTAGTTGAAACCGTAGTAGTGCTAGTCACAGGACCACTAGGTGAAACCGTAGTAGTGCTAGTCACAGGACCACTAGTTGAAACAGTAGTAGTGCTAGTCACAGGATCACTAGTTGAGGCAGTAGTAGTGCTAGTCACAGGACCACTAGTTGAAACAGTAGTAGCGCTAGTCACAGGACCACTAGTTGAGGCAGTAGTAGTGCTAGTGACAGGACCACTAGTTGAGGCAGTAGTAGTACTAGTCACAGCACCACTAAATGAAGCAGTAGTAGTGCTAGTGACAGGACCACTAGTTGAGGCAACAGTAGTAGTGCTAGTCACAGGACCACTAGTTGAGGCAGTAGTAGTGCTAGTCACAGGACCACTAGTTGAGGCAGTAGTAGTGCTAGTGACAGGACCACTAGTTGAGACAGTAGTAGTGCTAGTCACAGGACCACTAGTTGAGGTAGTAGTAGTGCCAGTGACAGGACCACTAGTTGAGACAGTAGTAGTGCTAGTCGCAGGACCGTTAGTTGGAACCGTAGTAGTGCTAGTGACAGGACCACTAGTTGAGGCAACAGTAGTAGTGCTAGTCACAGGACCACTAGTTGAGGCAGTAGTAGTGCTAGTCACAGGACCACTAGTTGGGGCAGTAGTAGTGCTAGTCGCAGGACCGTTAGTTGAAACCGTAGTAATGCTAGTCACAGGACCACTAGTTGAGGCAACAGTAGTAGTACTAGTCACAGCACCACTAAATGAAGCAGTAGTAGTGCTAGTCACAGGACCACTAGTTGAGACAGTAGTAGTGCTAGTCACAGGACCACTAGTTGAGACAGTAGTAGTGCTAGTCACAGGACCACTAGTTGAGGCAGTAGTAGTGCTAGTGACAGGACCACTAGTTGAGGCAACAGTAGTAGTGCTAGTCACAGGACCACTAGTTGAGGCAACAGTAGTAGTGCTAGTCACAGGACCACTAGTTGAGGCAGTAGTAGTGCTAGTGACAGGACCACTAGTTGAGGCAACAGTAGTAGTGCTAGTGACAGGACCACTAGTTGAGGCAACAGTAGTAGTGCTAGTCACAGGACCACTAGTTGAGGCAACAGTAGTAGTGCTAGTCACAGGACCACTAGTTGAGACAGTAGTAGTTCTAGTCACAGGACCACTAGTTGAACCAGTAGTAGTGCTAGTCACAGCACCACTAGTTGAGACCGTAGTAGTACTAGTCTCAGCACCACTAAATGAAGCAGTAGTAGTGCTAGTCACAGGACAACTAGTTGAGACAGTAGTAGTGCTAGTCACAGGACAACTAGTTGAGACAGTAGTAGTGCTAGTCACAGGACCACTAGTTGAGGTAGTAGTAGTGCTAGTCACAGGACCACTAGTTGAAACAGTAGTAGTGCTAGTCACAGGACCACTAGTTGAGGCAACAGTAGTAGTGCTAGTCACAGGACCACTAGTTGAGGCAGTAGTAGTGCTAGTGACAGGACCACTAGTTGAGGCAACAGTAGTAGTGCTAGTCACAGCACCACTAGTTGAGACCGTAGTAGTACTAGTCACAGCACCACTAAATGAAGCAGTAGTAGTGCTAGTCACAGGACCACTAGTTGAGACAGTAGTAGTGCTAGTCGCAGGACCGTAAGTTGAAACCGTAGTAGTGCTAGTCACAGGACCAATAGTTGAGGCAACAGTAGTAGTGCTAGTGACAGGACCACTAGTTGAGGTAGTAGTAGTGCTAGTCACAGGACCACTAGTTGAGGTAGTAGTAGTGCTAGTGACAGGACCACTAGTTGAGACAGTAGACAGACGATAGTTAACGTAACTGAACAGTAAAGGGGCATCTTGACATTGATAACTTACGAGCCATCGAAACTGATCACTTGTCGCAACTCATTGAGTAAAGCCTTCCTACAGGCTTCGATGCCCAA